TACGCTGCATGACTTACATAGTGGAGGATCGTCTTTACTCATCAAGTAGCTGTGTGTTAATTGTGTGTGACCAATTCGGAGGCAGTTTATTATGGTTTCATCTTTTCTATTAAGTTCAGGATTTTTCCATTCGTTTATATTATTTTTTATTTTGTTGAGTTTGGTGTTGAGTTTTCGCCAGTGAGAAAGCCATTTATTATTTGAGTGTAGGTTTATTTCGTTCTTTGCATCTTCGAATGTGATGGAATTTATGGTTGGAGTTGATGTAGAGACGATTGTATTATAAGCTTCTTGGTCAGCCATTTCATTTCCGGGAATGCCTATGTGCCCCGGGATCCATACAAAAAAAAATGTTTATTTTTTTTTGCTGCAAGAAAAGTTTCCTCTTGGATGAGGTTTGTGATATCTGGTTGGTTTCGTGTATTTGTAATGGCGATTAAGTTGCAGAGTGAGTCGATAAGTATTATAAATTGGTTTTGGTGGTTAGCGTATTCTGTGTGAAGATATTTTACGGCTTTGTATATTGCCATCGCTTCTGCTGTAAATATTGATGCTTGAGGTGAAAGTTTGTGTGCTATTGTTTGATTGTTTATTATCATTGCTAGCCCGACTCCGCCATTAGTTTTGGATGCATCGGTGTATATGTGTACGCCGTTTGGATGTTCTTGCAAAATGTTTTTGAACATGTTTTTATATATGGAAGGCATTGTGTTATCTCTTTTGAATTCAGTTAGAGTAAGGTTAACATTGAATATTGTGTTCCATGGGGGGAAATTATATGGTTTTCTTTCTATAATATTGTTTATTTTTATATTATCTTTTTCGGCTTCCTTTAAATATGCATTTATTACTTGGATGACTGGGTTATTAATGTTTTTTTGGTTCTGGCACAATATAGTAGAAGTAGTTTTTCTCTCCTAATGTTGGATGGAATTTCATTGGCAATGTTTCTAATACTCTCGATTGGGCTGGATTTGAATCCCCCAATTGAAAGTCTTATTGCAGTATTTAGTTTAGTTTGAACCATGTTTAAGTGTTTAATTTTGGTATTTTTTAATAGTATAGAACCATAGTCTGTTTTAGATCGAATTAAAGCTTTATAGGTCATTAAAAGAGATGAGCTGTCACCACCCTATGATGTGTGAGCAATTATTTTGATTATATTGAGTTTTTCAGATATCGAGTCACGGATATTTTTTAGATGAGGTAACCATTTAAGTTTGGAGTCAAATGTTATTCCTAGAATTTTAATTTTATTATGGTGAGGTATAACTAAGTTATCTAGTGTTATATTTAGAGCTTTTATTAATTTTTTGGTTTGTGAAGATAATACTTTGTGATTTGAGGTTAGATAATGAGAAGCCAGCTTTTTTTTACCGATCAGTTAAGCTGTTAGCACTTATTTGGATGAGAAACTCTTGGACAGTTTTTAGGTTATTGCTTCTGCAAAATATGTTTAAGTCATCAGCGAATAAATTAGCTTTTAAGGGAACTTTAATTGTTTCAACAATGTCATTAATGGCCAAGAGAAAAAGTGTAACTGCCAGAGATGATCCTTGTGGAATACCATTTTCTTGGCTGAACGTCTTTGATAAGGTATGTGATACTTTGACCTGGAATTGTCTTTCTTTTAGAAAGTTTGTAATATATTTGAGCATATTGCCATTTGTTAAAATTTATTTTACTCAATAGAGTTAGTATTCTATGTCTCCATACAGAATCGTAAGCCTTTGTTATATCAAAACTGATCATTTCGAGTATTTGTTTATGTTCGAATGCGTTTTCTATTTCGGTTTTTATTGAAATTAAATTATCCATTGTTGATCTAGTGTGTCGAAATCCTCTTTGCTCTTTGGATAATATTTGGTTTTTTTTCTAAGAACCATATTAATCTTAAGTTTATGATCTTTTCCATAATTTTTGTCATTGTATTTAGGAGTGTAATAGGTCTATATCCTTCAGTAGAATGTTTGTTTTTACCAGGTGTAAGAATCGGAATTATTATTCCCCTTTTCCATTCTTTAGGTATAACACCTGAGTGCCATATATTATTGTATATATCCAATAAGAATTGTTTAGCTGTTTTGCCAAGGTTTATAATAAAGCAATAAGGAATGCTGTCAGGGACAGGGCTTTTGCTCAGACATTTATTAAGTGCAGTTTCCATTTATTTGAGTGTTATACTGGAGTTCAGGTAAATTTGGTCGCTGTTGGTAGGGTTTATCATTGAGATTATTGGTGTGTTTTCGGACGGTATTTTTATTCCATCTATAAATTCTTGTTTGTAAATTTTGTTGCTGAAATTGTCTTGGAAGTATGTACCGATTTTTCAGCGACATATTCTGGAAATGATGTTGTTCCTTGTTCGTCAGATATATGTATTTCTTGGTTTCGGTTTAGACCTTTCAATGAGTGAATTTTGTTCCATATCTTGGATGAGTTAGTTTTAATGTTTATGCTAGTTGTAAATTCTTTCCATGAGTTTTTTTATTAAAAATTTGGCTTGGGCACGAAATTTTTTGAGTTGTATGAAGTTTTCTAAGGTTTTATTTTTTTTATACGTGTTTAAGGCGTTCTTTTTATTGAATATAGCTCTTTTGATCTCATCATTCCACCAGGGAACTTTGAGGTTTTTGTTATGATTTATACTACAGCCGATTGATATTTCTGCTGCCGAGGTAATTATGCCAGTTAATATTTTAACTGTGTTTTCGATATTAGGGTGGTCATTGTTTTGTGTTTTGGTAATTTCTTCTTCTATAATATCACTGAATAACGCCAGATTGGTGTTCTTAAATTCCATCTACAGTTTTTATTTATATTAGCATCTCCTATCCTGGTCATGAAGTTTGTGAGTATTKKGAGATGATCACTGCTGTAAATATCAGACAAAACTTTCCACTTGAGTCTTTGGGCTAGGGAGGATGTGCACATTATTAGGTCGATACAGGATAACGTTCCATTGGCTAGATTTATGTGGGTGGGAGAAGTGTCATTTAGAATTACAATATTGTCGTTTTATAGAAGTTTTTCAATTATCTTGCTTCTATAGTCTGTTTTTTCCGAACCCCACATTGTGCAATGTGTATTAAAGTCACCTAATATAATAAATGGCTAAGGGAGTTGTTTAGTTATGTTTTCGATGTCAGATAATTCGATTTTTGTTTGGTTAGGTAAATACAAATTGCATACATTTAAATTTATTTCATTGAGTTGTATTGAAATGGCAATAGCTTCAAGATGGGTTTTTACGTTTATTTGTTTGCTGGGGAAGAACGTCTTGGCATAGATTGCTACACCACCACTGGCTCTTAAACCATTAGTTCTGTTTTTGGTGTAGCTTATAAATTCCTTAATGTTTTATAGGTTTGGTTAGTAAAATTAGTTTCTTGTAAGCTTATGATGTCAGGGAAATGTTCAGATATTAATATTTTTAATTCATTTTTTTTTTTTTTTTAAAAAAGTTAGAAAGTTCCATTGTATTAATTTTGTGTTTTGTATGTGGTTTTTTTCTTTTTGATTTACATTCATTAAGATTTAAAAATTTGAATTGATATTTATTTGGATATGAGCTTTACAATTTTAACTCTTTTGGAGTTAATTGAAATAATAGATTAGATAGTTTGGTAAGTTTTGTTTTTGTTGCTCGATCGTTTATCTTAGGTCTGACTATT